AATAATAATAATAATAATAATAATAATAATAATAATAATAATAATAATAATAATAATAATAATAATAATAATAATTCTATTAGGATCATTAAAAATAGTTGAACATTATATTAGGATCAATAATGAGCCACAGTGGTGCAGTGGTTAGAGTGCAGTACTGGAGGCTACTTCTGCTGATAATCAGTTACCAGCAGTTTGGCAGATTGAATCTCACCAGGCTCAAGATAGATTCAGCCCTCCATCCTTCTGAGGTGGGTAAAAATGAGGACCCAGATTGTTGCGGGCAATATGCTGACTCTAAAACCGCTTAGCGAGGGCTGTAAAGCACTGTGAAGTGGTATATAAGTCTAAGTGCTATTGCTTTTGCTATAATAGTTGAATCTTAATGTATTTTTTTCTTTAAAACCCAGTGGTAAATCTCATTGACAAATAATAAGAGAATGAAGAGGAAGGGCAAACTTAGCTATTGACATTTGGATGTTTTTTATTCACCTGGTCATCTGCTACTGGTAGAGTAGCTTTTTTTAGAGTAAAACTTTTGTCCAAAGTCAAGTTTACAGTACATGATGGAAGTGCATAACTATGCCTGCTGCAGAATCAGGAATAACCTCTTCTGGAAATGAATGACTGGAAATTCTGTTCTAATGGGACACTCCCGTCCTGACGCTAGACAGTGTTGTGAGTCTCAAAGACTGTCTCTTGATTTGATCTGTTCAGTGCAGTCAGTCCAGAGAAATATGTTAAAGGCAATCTAAGGAGAGAAACATAGATCTGTAAGTTACTTCTCTGTCCTTTGGAAAACTGACTTCAGAGGCCCAGACAATGTTCTTTTTACAGTTTTCTATAGGACAGTCAAACCCGAGTTCTTTTACCTGGCATTTCATGTTTGAAGAGTGCAGAAATTACTCTGGGCCAGGGTATGCATACCACAATTTTTGGAGGGTAGAGTGAAGTGCTTTATGTTTTATCAATGCTATAATATGATTGTACTGGAAGTGAAGCTGGAAGCATAAAATTATATCTATTTAAAAAATTGAATACCTGTACTATAGATACAGATGCATGCATATTCTACCTTCAGATTTTTTTTAGTCAAAATAACTCATTGTCCATCTAAGATTATGTGTCAGGAGTTACTTGTGGGCAATATACTGGTACTTTACAGCAACTATTGATGAATAATCACTAACAGAACATTATAAATCACTAACAGAACAATTCATAAGAAAAGTTGCAGCTTGATTAAAAGACAGCATTGAGGCACTGGTCATAGCAGCATAAAACTAGCATCAAGCACCAAATCCATAGATGGGGTCTACCAACTAGACATGATCCAAGGTGCAGGCTGTGCAGAGAGGCCTCAGGTGCAATCAAACCCATAGTGGCAGGGTGTAAGATGCAGATAAGAACAGTGGCACAACCAAGCAACTGGCATTGTGCACAGGAATATCTGCACTGTGTATGGGTTGGAGTGTCCCCAGTTCAGATGGGATATTCAACAGAAAGTCGTAGAGAATAACAGGACTAAGATCCATTTTCAGATCCAGATGGACACACAGGTACTGGCCAATTAATCAGACAACATGCTGGTAGACAAGAAGCAGAAGACAGAGCTGGTAATAGAGGTAGTGGTGCCAAGTGACAGCAACATCAGGAAGAGGGGATATGAGAAGCTGGAGAAGTATCAGACCAGAAGTGAAAACTGGAGAGGATGTCAAAAGTAAAGGCCGAATGGTCCCTGTGGTGATAGGAGCATTTCAGGGCTGCCAAACTTGAACAATGGTTCCATCAGATTTCAGGAAGAAGATCAAAGCTTTCTGTCCAGATGCATGCAGTGCTAGGAACGGCTAAGATATTATGCAGAACCTTCACACTCCCAGGCCTCTGGCAGAATCCCCAAGATTGAAAAAGACACATACCACTCATAGGGATGAGAGGGAATTTTTAAATATGCATATAAAAGTTTTTTTCACAGAGTAAAAATAATACAAACTTTAAGTTAAAGATAAAACATAAGATATTTACGCATTTTCTAGATTTTCACCATGAAGTAGGAAAATTGCAATGTACGAAAGTAAAATTGCTAAAGTTCTCAATACGGTAGTATTCATTTAAATATTTCTTCTTTTTCTCTGTATTTTGTTTGATAGGTGCCCCACCCCTGGATGTGATGGCTCTGGTCATGTGACGGGAAATTATGCCTCTCACAGAAGGTAGGAACCCTTTACTTATTCAAAAGTAAAAGATTAGGAAGTCAGGAAGAGAAATAAACTGTTTTGCATACTTTTCTTTAGTTTGTCTGGCTGTCCCCGAGCCAGGAAAAGTGGTCTGAAAGTGACTCCTACAAAGGAAGAGAAAGAAGATCCTGAACTTAAGTAAGTAGGCTTCCAAAGGTTTGTGGTAAATCACAAAACACACCCCAGTTGATCTCACTAACATATGCATGCATCTATAACAACAAATTGAAATAAAGTTACAAAAACTAGTTTTATAGTTTCAGTGAATACCACTATTCCTGATATTGCAAAAAAAAAAAGGTGTAATGCAGGAAAGTTTCTAAGCCTTCCCCTGAATATAATCTCAGCAATTTTTTTCCTACCCTGAGTTTATGATTGGCAATTATCCATGCAGTTACAGACACTGATAAATGTAATAACTGTCAAGGCTCTATGATGAAATATCATTGGATATTTTAAATCTTTTAAAGTGGCTCTGGAAGACTAACCTTTACTTGTTCACTAAATGAATGAGTAGTTTAACACAAAGTTAAGTTCACATAAAATGCCAAGATATAATGTGGGTTAACACAGGACACTCACTCCAAAGCAACCCACATTATAGCTCTGGTGACTTATGTCATTTATGAGATCAAATATGCTAAGAGCTTTCCATTAAAAATCCTGGCCGTGCAAATTATTTTGCTAATTTGAATTTATTTTCCCTCTAAAGAGATCTTTAGACAAATATCAGTTTTGCTGTGCTCCTACAGATGTCCAGTGCTCGGCTGTGATGGCCAAGGTCATGTATCAGGTAAATACACTTCCCATCGCACAGCTTCAGGTTGTCCCATGGCTACCAAGAGACAGAAGGAAAGTCCTCTCAATGGATCTTCACTACCCTGGAAGTTGAACAAGCAAGAACTGCCACACTGCCCTTTGCCAGGCTGCAATGGGTTGGGTCACGTTAATAATGTTTTTGTCACCCACAGAAGGTATCCCTTTGTTTTTATTCCCCTTTCTTCCCTTCTCTTAGCAAACATCTGTAAATCAATGGAGTTTTGTTTATTTGACAATCCTATTGACAATCCAATTTTTCATGGATTTTAAAGAGCCCATCTTTCAGGGATGATTGGGGCTCGAACCTTTAATGATTACTTATGCATACTATATATAACAATAAATTATTCCTAAAATCAAATCATTGAACTAATATTTTATAGACCAAAGGTCTATAAAGAATTGACATCATAAGCTGTGCATAATTTGTTCTGTTGATCTTCTAATGTGACTTCAAGGTCGTGGATTTCCTAGCATGAATGTAGCTGGCATGGCTGTTAGTAAAACAGTAGTGTAAAAATATCAGATTTGGTGCTTTAAAGCAAGTGCTATCAAGGTACAGCCATAATAGAACTGAACAATGAGTTGAAAGAGAAGACAATTGTAGGCATGTCCCTGGAAATCATACACAACAAATGCTATTGTATTAACATTATTGGCTTCCGGGGCGGGACCTTGCCGATGGCGGCAGCTTAACGAGCTGCCCCCAGGTTTCTGGTGGCGTTATCTGCCTAAATACCTGG